TGTGCTACAGCCAGGTGTAACCGTGTAGTGGCCTCTCATACTCTGTGTTAAAACTCCTACTCTGAAGCACAAGAGGGACTCGTGGAGCTTCATTTGAAATGTCTTAAATGTGAACTTTGTTCTGTGGATTCTTAAATTGGGGTTTTCTTTTGCTGTTGTCACCCGTGGGAGAGAAAATCCAATTGGTGCTGTTTGCTCTGCAGGGAAAAAGTGGGAATAATTGGGTTGTCCATAGTTTTAGTTCTCCATGGCCTCTTTAGGGGTGAGGAAAAGCAGTTTGTAAAAGCTTTTAGGTCTTGGTCTGTTCTTGTGCTTAGTGATTTCCTTTCCAAGTTAATTCCTTGGAATAAAAATCCACCTGCTCTGATGCAGAGCCGTCCTGGCTGGGATGGAGGAGGAGATGGGCTTGGAGGGAGCTGGGAAGCTTCAGGAAGCTTCCCCAGTCCTGCAGAGTGGGATTTGGCAGGAGCTGAAGGTGCCCAGAGCACCACAGGATCTCCAGGTGGGAATGTTGGTGTGGAGCAGCCCTGGGGTGTTGTTTCCATCGTTTCTGGGAGCAGAGAGCCCCCAGAGGTGCTCCCAAAGCTGAGGCAGCCCCAGGAAAAGCCTTGGAAAGGGAAGAACTCCTGTTCCAGGCTCCTTCAGCTCCTTGCTGACCTGGTCTTGTGCAGCCACAGAGCCCAGAGGAATGTGCTGGCAGGATGCAGTGCTGGGTACCCAGGAGGGACCAGGAGCATTCCAGAGGGGTTTTCCTCTCCTCCCACCCCCTCTGCTCTGTGCTGAGGGTTGGGGTTGTTTTTAGAGGGACCTCTCCCAGCTATTCCTGGTTTCCATCCTTCCCTCATGCACTTCCAGGCATTCCCTGGGGAAAACCTGCTCTGCATGTCCTATTTGTGTTTAATTATCACCCAGCACTTGATTAATTAGCTGAGGAAGCAGGGGACGGTAAAGGCTGTGCTTGGGACCAGGGCCATTCGTTAGGGCAGGTTTGCTAATGACATTAATTAACGTGACCCCCTGGGAGCTGCAGGAGCAGGGCAGGACCAAGGGGTTGTTTTTATATCATTTCTATATTTCCATCTATTGAATGTAGCAGAAACTACTGGAGTAACTCAGCACTGGATCCCATCCTCTGGCTGGATTTTCCTTGGCATCCCCAAGCTGATCCTTTTAGGAATGTCCCTGAAACCCTGTAGTGCTGGCTGGGAATGTCCCTGTTGCTGTTTGTGTCTGTGTCACTGCTGAGGGACAGTTGTGGGGGATAAGCCCCAGTTTGTGCCCCGAGGGCTCTGTGGGGCTCTTCCGTTCCTGCACTGCTTGAAGCTGATCTTGTCTAGAGGAGAATTGTGTCTTTTCTCTCTGTTTGTCCCATGGAGTCTCTCTTGCATTGCAGGTATTTTTATTCCCTAAAAATAAAATAAACACTTGGCCTTTTTAAAGGAAGTGACTGCTCTGTTTATTGAGTGGTAACCCAGAACATCACACTTGGAAAATGGAGTCAGTTAAAGGATCTTAATTAACAAAGTGAGTGTGGAGCCACTTGCCCTCTACAGAACAGAAATGGGGTGATCCCCCTGGTTTGGGGAATGGGGAGTGCAGGGTGTTAAAAACAACCCAAAAAGGAACATAACTAATGGAAAACAGGGAACATAACCTATGGCACGGTGTCTTCTGCAGATTGTGCTATTCTGGGTTTTTTTTTTTTTTAATTTAAATTTTCATTTCTATGTTAAACCCAAGTGTCTCCTCAGTGTTTCCTTGCTCCTGGAGAGCTGTCTGTCCCTCGTTTACCTGGCCACAGGTGTCTCCAGGCTGACTTCCACAGCTTTCTGAGGAGCAGCCAGAGCTTCTGGAAGGAGCTGACTCCCAGCTTATGGGTCCAGTGAAGACATGTTTTCTGATGGCTTCAGAGTGAAGAAACCACAGTCCAGCTGCTGATGGTATCCTGGAAAAATGCTCTTTTATCCCATTCTTTTTAGTCATGGGTAGTGAGGTGTTAAAGACTGGAGTGCAGACAAAACTCAGCTGAGAAGGGAAGATGCTCAAGAGGGAGATTCCAGGTACAAAACTTCCTGTGAACCTGGGAACAGACTCCAGACCCATCAGCCAGCCCCTGATGAATATTTTCTACCTCAAAAATGGGTATTTTCTGTGTTTTAAGGGCCTGGCACTGGAGTACACTCAGTCCCTGGGTGTTTCTCAGGCTTTTCTCCTTCTTGCTAATTTTAAATGTTCTTAATGCTGCCAGTGAAATCCTTCATTTACCTTAATTAGACTCGCTTTGCATTTAATTGGATTATTAGCATTAACACTGGCTAGAATTGATAAAGCTGCAATTTAATTTGGGGAAAATTTGGACAAAAGGTGTGGTAATTGGAGTTTCTTTGGGCTGCAAACAGCTCATGGATTCCAGTGCTCTCCTGGAATCCTTCCTTTGGAGGAGTGGAGGGTATGGGAGTGGGATACAAAACCTCTCTCTCAACAACAGGTCTTGGAGCTGTGGGAGAGAGGGAAGGGATCCAGTGTGAATGGGAATCAATGAAAATCTAAAAATAACCAAAACCCCCCATGGATGGAGCAGGGGGCTCTGGGCTGGGCAGCTGGGGCTGCCCCTGGATCCCTGGCAGTGCCCAAAGCCAGGCTGGACAGGGCTTGGAGCAGCCTGGGACTGTGGAAGGTGTCCCTGCCATGGCAGGGCTGGAATGGGATGGATTTTAAGGTTCCTCCCAGCCCAAACCATCCTTTTATCCTGTTTTCCAAAAGGGAAGGTGCAGTGGAAGTAAAGAGATTAACTCCTGGAGCTCCAGTGCTGCCAAAATTCCTCAAGGAATGACTCATGGAGGAGAAGAAGCATTGCTGGATTCCTGCTTCCTTTCTAACTCTGTATTTTGTGTGTGGATGCACCAAATAAATCGGGATTTTCCAGCAGCAGGGCCCTGGCAGGGATGTGCAGTGCAGCCAGGGGATGCTGTCCTTGCCCTCTCCTGGATAACACCTGGGTAATTCCTGGGTAACACCTGGGTCACGGCTCACCAGGAGAAGCCCAGGGCTGAGGTTTGGGATGCTGGGAGCAGAGCTGAGGGCACAGAGGGAGATTCCAGAGCCCAGAGCTGTGCTCTGGCAGTGACTCCCAGCCCAAAGGCAGGAGACACAGCAGCTCCATCTCCAGCTCTGCTTTCCCAACCTTGAGCACTGTTAGTAAATCCCTAATCCTTGCAAAATCATTTATTTGGGACTGTTTAGCTCTAAACTTTTAACTGCTTAGCCCTGCTAAATCCACAAGCTCATTAGCTCTCTTCAGCTGCGTTAATAACAATAATCTCTTTAATGGGAGCAACTCTGGACAGGATTTACCTTCCCAAAAATCCCACTGACTGGCACTCAGCACCCTTCTGCCCTCTAATTCTTCCCCAATTACCAGGGAGCTGATCAAGAGCTGCTTTGCCTGGAGCAGAGGCCAGGTGAGGCCCTGAGCTCAGGCAGAAGTGGAAGCTTTTCCCAATCCTCGTCCTTCCCTGGAGTTTGGAGCAGTGAGAAGCTCATCCCAAATGGGCCAGGCTGGTCTGTCACCCCTGCCTGGGCTCCTGCTGGGGTCAGGCTGGCTCTGCTGCTGGGAATATCCCCCAGGATGGATGGAAAGGTTCCTGCTCCTGGAGTGTGTCTGGGTGGAATTCCAGCTGGGCTGGGGGCTCTCGGGTTTGCCTCATTAGAACTGGGTTTAATCTGCTCCTTGTTCCTAAGATCTCTCTTGGTTAACAACTAAACAGCAGCAGCAACAAAAGAATAAGCAGTTTATCATTAATTTGCCATTCAAGGATTTTCCTTTCATCTCCAAGTTCCCTACATTTTACATTTTCTAGCACTTCTGTTGTCTGCATTCCCTTTTTTTCCTTTATAACAATCTGTCTTTTTAATGGCTGCTTTGATTTCTGTGGTGTGTGGAAGGGGTTTCCAGCCAGGCTTGGCTTTTGTGGCTGCAGCATCCCCGTTGTGGTTGCATCTTCTTGACACTCAGGAAAAATAACCTCAGACTCCCCTCTTCTGCTCCAGGGTTCATCCACATCACACTCCATAATTCCATTCCTGCTGCTGGCTTTGGAGAATTGACCTTTGTGAAGCAATAATATATTTTGGAGTGAATTGAGAGAGGGAAACCAAAAGCCTAAACCAAATGAATGCTGACCATTTTCCTGCTTTCCAGGGGGAGGCTCCAAAGCAGGAATGGGGTGGTGGCACAGATCACTCCCTTCACAGAGCACCCTGATTCCACTCCTTGCAGCAGTGGGGATTTTCCTGCTGGGTAATTTGGGTCTCTCTCGTTATCTCATGCCACGATAAGGCTGCCCCAAACCCCCAGCCTGTTCCTGCTCCACTGCTGAGGAGTTTGGAGAGGGTTTAAAGGGAGCTGGATAAAATAGGATTGCACTTCCCAGCTGACAGGTTTTGATAAGAGCCCCAGTGCTGCTCCCCCCTCCTTTTGTTTGCCCTGGGAGGTTTCCTGCCTTCCTGGGTCCTGTTCAGCTTCAGGAACCCTGGCTGTGGTTCCCTCTGGCAGGTGCAGCCCAGAGCAGCTCAGGTGGGAAATCTGAACCATCTTCAGGACCTGTTGTCCTTCTGGTGTTTAATACATCACTTTGGAGGTTACAAATGGCCATTTGTATCACTCTGAAGAGGGGGAGGGAGGGCAGGAGCAGGGTTAAGAGGGAATTGGAGCACCTGGCAACAGCCAAGGTGAGGTAGAGGCTGGTGCTGCCCTGGCAGGGACCCCAAACCGCCCCGTTCCCTGCGATTTCTGTGGGGAAACAGCAGAGAAAAAGCTTTGTGTGTGCTCAGAGGGGTCGAGCAGCCTCCAGCACCTGTCCCAGCCTCCCCCCACCACGCTGCCCTCTCTATATTTACCCAGGGGGAGCTTTCCAAGAATGGAAGTGGTAAGATAAAACCCCAGAGGGGCTAAAATTAGCCCCAGGCCGGTCCTGCCGTGGCATTTCAGCTGTGAGCTGCACAGCCCCGGCCCCACACAGCCCCGTCATCCCAGCCCTGCCAGAGCCTCTTCTGCTCTGCCCATTTGGGCTTAAACCACGGCAGGACTCCCCATGGCACCCCCCTGGCCTCAGGGGCTCTGAGCATCCCCCACACGCAGGTAAGGCAGCACTGGGACCTGCTAGGGTGAGGGGGGGACTGGGACCCAGAGGGACAAATGTGTGCTCTGTCACAACCTCTTTTGGGGGTCTGAGGTGCTTGCACAGCTTCTGCCAGCTCAGGGGGTGACAGAACAGTGAGGGTGGGCAGCCCTGGCACAGGGTGCCCAGAACAGCTGTGGCTGCCCCTGGATCCTGGCAGTGCCCAAGGCCAGGTTGGACACTGGGGCTGGGAGCAGCCTGGGACAGGGGAAGGTGTCCCTGCCCAGAGCAGGGGTGGGATGAGATGAACTTTTAAGTTCCTTTCAAAACCAAACCATTTGTGATTCCACAAATCCTGGTTTGGGCTCTCCTGGCTGAGGAGCCTCCCTCAGCTCCCCACAGAAGATATCAGGCAGCCCAAGGAGTCTCCCTTTGGAGGTGCTGTTTGTGTGTTCAGGAAATGTTACAGCTGCTCTTTTCCACACCATTTCCCTTGGGAATCTAACTGGGAGCACAACTGTCTTTTTGACTCACACCTGCAGTAACCCCCAGCCCATTCTCCATGAGGGTGGGGTGATCCCAAAACTCCAGAGCTCATCACCAGCATGTGCAATGAAGAGCAGCAGCATTGGAATTTCCCACATTTCTGTATAAATTGAGCTAACAGGTGGCAGCCCAGCAGAGCTTTGCTGCTGCTGCCATCAGACTTGTCCCAGTGTCCCCAGCTGTGCTGGTGGCCTTGCTGGGGTCCCCCTGAGCTGGTGGCCATGTCCCCGTGGGTGATGTGGGACAGGTCCCTGTGATGGCCAAGGCACCAAAGGGCTCAGGTGCACAACGAGGCCAATTGTTCCTTCTGCTTATGAGCCCTCTGCTTATGAGATAATTAACTGTTTGCTGCAGCTCCTTCACTAATTAATTGCCCGGTGCAGCTCCTTGGCTCCTCCCAGGACAGCTCAGCCCTGGCTCTGCCTCTGCTGCCGCTCCCGAGCTGCCCCAGGGCTGCCGAGACATTCCTCTGCCCATCCCGAGCGTTTCCAGCTCTCAGGTGCCAGCCGGGACATCCCATTCCTGTCCCCTGCTGTCCCTCGGCTCCTGAGGCCACATCCTGTGTCCAGAGCCCAGCGGAGCTGCCAGGGTTCAGTGCCACTGGCTGTGATCAGCTCAGCACTTCCACCCTTCCTCCCCCAAATCCCTCAGCAGAAACATCCCAGACCCCTCTGCAGCCGTGACCATCGGGCTCCAGTAGGCTGGAAGGAGGAAAACGATGGGATTCTAATGCTGGCATCATTTGGGAAGGGAGATGCTGGAAGATGTTTGATCCCAATCAAACTGACTACTTCACATTCACCTCATCCCTCAGGACTGGGGACAAGGGGTGGAGGAACAGGACACAGGGAATGGCTCCCACTGTCAGAGGGCAGGGATGGATGGATATTGGGCAGGAATTGTTCCCTGGGAGGGTGGGCAGGCCCTGGCACAGGGCAGCTGCGGCTGCCCCTGGATCCTTGGAAGTGCCCAAGGCCAGGTTGGACAGGGCTTGGGGCAGCCTGGGACAGTGGAAGGGTGTCCCTGCCATGGCAGGGGTGGGCTTTAAGGTCCCTTTCCACCCAAACCATTCCATGATTTTATGGAATCCTGATCCACGTACCCACTACAGCACTGAGCTCCGTTGTTCCCTCAGCGTTTCACCCACGTGGATTTCCTCATGTGGTGCCAGGGCCATGAGCACATCAGCATCATCCTCCTCCAATGTTGGTCGATTTTTTGGGGAATCTTCCTTTTGTTGAGTATAAAGTTGCACTAAAATGCAGCTGTCGGCGTCAGGGACTGGTTCTAACTCGGGGCTGGTGCCGCTTCTGCCATCCTGTAGATCTTCGGCCTCATCCTTTACCATGACAGCGGCACATGGAGCCCAGACCCGACAAAATGAGCCTGATGGACATCAACAAGATGTTCTCCCTGCTGCAGCCCAGGGATGACGAGGAGGACAGCGGGGAGAGCGAGGAGCTGAGCCGGGCGGTGTGCCAGGACGACCACGAAACGCTGGCCAGGCTGCTGTCCCAGGACAGGTACAGGAGGCTGATCAACCGGCGGAGCGGCTGGGGCGTGCCCAGCACCCCCCTGCGCCTGGCGGCCAGCCGGGGCTGCGTGCGGAGCCTGCGGCTGCTGCTGGCCCACGGCGCCCAGGTGGACAGCCTGGACGTGAAGGCGCAGACCCCGCTCTTCGTGGCGGTCAGCAACGGGCACCGCGAGTGCGTGCGGCTGCTGCTGGAGGCCGGCGCCAGCCCCGCGGGCAGCGCCTACAACAACTGCTCGCCGCTGCTGCTGGCCGCCAGGGACGGCCACGCGGCCATCGTGCGGCAGCTGCTGGAGCACGGCGCCGAGGCCAACGTGCGGGCCCGGCTGCCCGAGTGGGCGGCCAACTCGGTGGCCTGCTCGGGCCCGCTGTACCTGGCGGCCGCCTACGGACACCTGGAGTGCTTCCGCCTGCTGCTGCTGCACGGCGCCGACCCCGACTACAACTGCACCGAGCAGAGCGTCCTGGCGCAGATCCGCGAGCCCAAGACCCTGCTGGAGACGTGCCTGAGGCACGGCTGCCGCAGCGACTTCATCCGCCTGCTCATCGACTTCGGGGCCAACGTGTACCTGCCCGCCGTGCCCGCCGGCGGGGCGGCGCCGCGCAGCGAGGGGCTGGAGCTGCTGCTGCAGGCCAGAGGTGAGCCGGCCGTGCCCAGGGCTGGGACGGGCTTGGCTCTGCTCCATTCCCTCCTCCCAACAGCCACACCCGGGTTTTCCTTCAGTCTGGTTCCCCTCGCAGCGTCACTTGGCCGTGGGGGTCTGTGGCTGCCCCTGGATCCCTGGCAGTGTCCAGGACCAGGTTGGATGGGGCTTGGAGCAGCCTGGGATAGGGAAGGTGTCCCTGCCCATGGAACGAGATGAGCTTAAATTCCCTTCCCAACCTAAACCCTTCTGTGGTTCCATGATTCCCACAGCCTGGGTTTCCCCTCACTTGTGGGGTTACCCCCTGCTTTTCACTCTTGCTCTCCTTTCTGCTGCTCACTTTGGGCTCTCCCGTACCACTCAAGTCTCAAATCCTGCCTTATTTCCATGTGGGGATGGGACATTTCTTCTCCATTCCCAGCTCCCACTGGGGCTTGTGCCAGAGTCCATAGCCCCAGTACAAAGACTGAGTTTCCATAGAATCATGGAATTTTCATAGGATCATGGAATGATTTGGGTTGGAAGGAACCTAAAGATAATTTTGTCCCAACGCTGTTCAGTTTGCTCAGTCCATGTCCCTTTGTCATAGGACCATGGAATGATTTGGGTTGGAAGGAACCTAAAGATAATTTTGTCCCAACGCTGTTCGGTTTGCTCAGTCCATGTCCCTTTCCACTGATAATGCGGGTTGGAGGTCAGCAGGGTTGTGTGTCTTGAAGGTGACCATGTGACTTTCCTTCCACAGCTCATCCCAAATCCCTGCTGTCCCAATCCCGGCTGGCCATGAGGCGTCTCCTGAAGCAGCCTGGGCGCTTGGCCACCCTCGGAGAGCTGGAGATCCCCACAGCCCTGGCCAAATACCTGCAGCACCAGCCGTGATCCCAGCCTGCCCCAGGGACACCCACTCTGAGCACCCCAATTAAAAGCTGCCCCACCCTAGGAGTGAATCCCTGAAATCTGTGGAACCCCCGGGAATTTGTGGTCACAAGTTCATTTTTGCTGCTGAGGTGTCTCCAGAAAGCCGTGCCCATGTGGAAAGGTGGGAAGGGGGAGAGAGAACAGGAGACCTCAGCTCCTGTTTGCAGCAAAGTGAGGATAGAGCAGGATCTGGTTCCCCTGGGTTTGCCTCAGACCATCTGTACTGAGGGATTTTACACCTTTAGCTGATCTTGGTTGGAGAAGGGGCTGGGAAAGAGTGTGGAGGAATTCTTGGCTGTGAGGATGGGAATTGTTCCCTGGGAGGGTGGGCAGGCCCTGGCACAGGGTGCCCAGAGCAGCTGTGGCTGCCCCTGGATCCCTGGCAGTGCCCAAGGCCAGGCTGGACACTGGGGCTTGGAGCAGCCTGGGATGGTGGGAAGTGTCCCTGCCATGGCAGGGGTGGCACTGGGTGGGCTTTGAGGTCCCTCATGATTCCACGATTCCCAGAGAAGTTCCCAAGTACCTTCTCCCTTTGGGAGGGGCAGGATTGGGGCTGGTCCTGGCTGTGTGTGCCCACGCCAGTGGGGGCAGAGCCCAGCGCTCCCAGCTGGCAGCACAGGAGGGGCTGGGAGAGTCCCAGCATCCCCACTGCTCTCCCTGCCCCAGCTCTGACCCTAAACATCTTCTTCTCACCCCAAAAGTGCTTCCTGTTGTGGCTGAGGGTCTTTTGTGATTGGGCAGGGCTGGGGTTTGGATTAAAGGTGTTCTGTTATTGGTATGAAACTGCTGTGGCCTGTCTGGTGAAATACCCCATGTCGGGATGGCTGGCCAGGGATGAAGGAATGGCTGCACACAGGGAATTCCAGGCTGCAGTAGGACATCCCAGCACCACCTTTGTGTCCCTCCATCCCTCCTGCCTTGGACACGGGCATTGCCCTCACCAGTGGGGCTGGAGGTGCCCTCCTGGCTCTTCCCACAGCCAGGAGCTGATGGATAAATCCCTGTGCTCCTTGGCAGCTCAGTGCCCACCCAGCAGTGGTGCTCTGGATGTTCTGCACTGCTTTTGGGATGCGGCAGAAGGTGTCCCATGGTTCATTCCCTCCTGCCCTGTGGCATCCCAAAGGGAAGTGCTCCCAGGGCTCAGAGCTCCAAGGGTGGCTCTGGGCCAGACACAGGCACCTCCCTGCAGGATTTATGGGCTTGTCAGGGGCTGTGGGATCTGTCAATCAGCATCTATTAATTAGGCTATGGGGCCTCACCCAAGGGGAGCATTAGGGCTTGGAAGCAGCCTGGACAAGGCTCCATAGGGAATGATGACACTGCTGCCACTTCTGTCCCCTCCCAGCCACCTGCGGGAGCACACCAGGAGATGGGGGCTGGGAGAGGCTGTCCCGCGGGGACACTGCCACTCCCGGCTGTCATTCCCACTCGTGGCATCCTTGCTGTCATCCTCACGTGGAGATGTGAGGGGCTTTCGGGATTTGGGGGTTCCAAAAATGGGGAGGGGTCTTCCCTGCCGGGCTGCTCAGTGCTGTGGGACTGTGGGTGTGAGCAGGTGTGCGGCGCTGGGTGCCTGGAAGTGCGGTGGCGCGGGTGACATGTCCGTGGGTCACACAGCATGCGCAGGGAGGTGTCCCACGGCAAACACGCCGTGTCACCACCCCCCCGGTGTCACACACCACACATCCCTGACCCCCCCGGTGTCACTCACTGTCACATCCCTGAGCCCCGCGGTGTCACACACTGTCACATCCCTGAGCCCCGCGGTGTCACACACTGTCACATCCCTGAGCCCCCCGGTGTCCCACACTGTCACATCCCTGAACCCCGCGGTGTCACAGACCAGGACAGGACAGGACATGTCATCCCCCACCCCGTGTCCGTGACCCCGCGTGCCCCGCGGGTGTCGCGCCAAGGCCACCACCGTGCGAGACCACGCCCCTTAACAGGGTTGACCACGCCCCCTTGTCAATCATACCCGCCAACGATGCCGCGTCCCAGCATGGGGACCCGCCCTGAGGCCACGCCCACCCCGCCACCGGGACGCCCCGGGTGGTGGCGGCCCTGAGACACCGGGGACGACACCGCGGGACGGCCATGAGGGGACACCGTGGGGACCGCGCCCAGCCGCCCCGCCCCGCCCCCGTGACCCCGCCCCGTTACTTTGGGCGCAATGTGGAGACAGCGCCCGCCCTCACGCAGAGGCCCCGCCCCCCAGCGCCCCNGCGGCGGTCCCGGGCCCGGCCCGAGCCCCCCTCCCCCCTCCGCCCCTCGCATTTTCGCGGATCCTCCCGAAAGTTTGGGAGCGCGGCGGGGGGAGCGGGGAGGGCCGGCCTGGGGGACCGGCCCCGTGCGGGGCTGGGCGGGCCGGGGGTCCCCGAGGATCCCCTCTGCGGGCGAAACGCTGCATTTCATTGTTACGGTGCTGCTTTTTGTTGGCTTTTAAACCTTATTTTTCATGTTCTGTTGGTCGCGGCTCTTTGCCCTCGGTGCCCTTTATTTCCCTTTCTTTCATTTTTATTTATTTCATTTTTTATCCTACTCCAGCCTCCCCTCCGCAGCAGTGCCGCGGTGCTGACGTGGAGCTGGACAGGAATGATTCCCAAAAGGAATTTTTGTAATGCTGGCTCTGTCTCATGCCCTTCCCCGGCGGCTTTCCAGCCCCAGTCCCGGTGCAGGTTTGGGCTCATTTCACCCCATTTTCCAGCAGCCCCGCACGCGTCAGGAGCGGGCGTTTCTCCCAGGCCCCTCTATCCCGGTCTCTCCAGAGGCTTTGGAGGCTCCTGGGGCTCGTGGTGGGCTCTGGCAGAGCTGGAAGAGCCCAGTTTGCCGCTGGGGAGGTGGCTGTGCCAGCCGGCTACGCCCCAGCTGCTGCTTCCAGTGGGACAGGTGAACGTGAGGGTTATCAGCAATCCCAGAATTCCAGAATCATGGAATGGATTGGGAGGGACCTTAAAGCCCATCCAGTTCCAGCCGTGCTGAGGGCAGCGATGCCAGATCAACATAGAGGCAAAGCAACCCAGACCTGAGGAATAAAATTAAACCTGGAATTGCAGGAATTTGCTGTGGGGCTGTAGGAGCAAAGAGCATCGTTTGGATGTATTTTCAATTTGGGATCTCTGGCTAAACACCTCGGGAAGGTTTCCTTGGCCTCCTGTCAGTCAGAGCTCAGCCTGGGGCATTGCAGCGTGGGAGCACATTAGGATTTTACTGCATTTAATTTGTCCACCCTCACCTCTGCAAAAGAAACATGATTATTATTGTTTTATTTCTGCTGTTCCTGACATCAATCCAGGGTCAAATTTCAAACCTACCTCTCTGCTTCTGGGATAATCTGATCAGGGGTTCACAGTGGGTGTTTTTAAGGCGATTCTCTCTGGCTGCACAGATTATTTTAAAAACAACTGAAATCTTCTATTAAAAAAAGCCAGGTTAGTAAGCAAAGTGGTTTTTTCCCGGACACGTGTGTAGGGAGGACTGTGTCCTGGTTTGGCCTCCCTCAGGATGCTCTTTGGAGACTGGCATGAGGCCTGGGAGAGCTGGGAGGGGGTTTGGGAGGTGCTAGCTCTCACTTTAAGGTATCCAAACATGACCACCCTGGAGACAGAAAATCTGGGAAGCTGCAGGGCTTGGAGCAAGGAGGTGCAGGGGTCAGACCTGCCTGTCCCTAGGGATTCTAGCCAAGGGAGATGTGTGGTTTTCCTGCTCTGGTGAACTGGTACATTTAAGCAACATTTTGGTGCCTGGATTTTGGAAGTGGTGGGAGAGCTTGAAGGCTCCTCCAGCTGGTGATGGAGCCCTGAGACCCCGGTGCCTTCAGCTCTGCCCCTTCCGCTGCCGTGTCCTCACCTGTGCCCTCTCCCTGTGCCTCAGGTCGGCGGTGATGTGTCCATCCCTGCGCCCCGAGCGCCGCGCTCCCAAAGCCGCTTCCAGCTAGATCCAAGGCCGCCCGCTGCCATGGAAACGGGCAGCCCGGAGGAGCGGGACGGAGCGGACCAGCGGCGGCAGGAGGGCGGGGACGCCCCTCCCGACAGCGCCAACGGCTCCGTGGTGGCAGCGGAGCCGCAGCAGCCGCCCCCCGGCAAGCTGAGGAAAACGGCCTTCAAGCTGTTCGGGGGCAAGCGGAGCATCTGCACCCTGCCCAGCTTCTTCGGCGGCCGCGGCAAGAAGGGGCTCAGCAAGTGCAAGACCCACGACGGGCTGAGCAGCGCTGCCTGTGACAGGGGCGGTGCGACACGGCCGGACAGCCCCTCGGAGGGCGGCAGGGATGGGCAGCCCGGCCCTCTGCCCGGCTCCCGCAGCGCCCAGCTGGCCGTGGACACCAGCACCAGGGGGGATTTGGGCCAGCAGGATGGCTCTCCCCCCGGGAGTATCGAGGGGTGTGACAAAAAGCCCAACGGGGAGAAATCCTCTGTCCCTAGACCCAAGAAAGGGCTGAAAGGGTTTTTCAACAGCATCCGACGCCACCGGAAGAGCAAGGCTGCCGAGAGTGAGAAGGCAGAGCTCCCCGAGTGGAATGGGGACACGGAGGAGGCTGGGAATGCTCCTGGAGTGGCAGTGGAGAGCCGAGGGGCCGTGGAGGGCAGAGAACCAGGGCCAGTCCCTGAGGCCACGGCTGGCCCAGGGGACTCAGGGGGTGACTCCAGCTGTGGGGAGGCCACCGAGCCCACGGGCTCCGCAGCTGATGGAGGCACCTCTGAGGGTGACACGATGGCCGTGCCAGGGAACGGGGACGTTCCAGATACAAAATTAGAGGCTGAGGCTGCTGCCTGCACTGAGTTTGACCATGAGAGTTTGCTGCTGGCCTTCCACCCTGACTTCATGGACAGTGAGCCTCCCTGCCTGCACTCTGGGGACTTGCTGAGCCTCATGCTGGGGGACGTCACCTCCCTGAAGAGCTTCGACTCGCTGACGGGCTGCGGGGACGACATCGCCGAGCCCGATATCGCCGAGAGCAGCATCTCGGTGGAGCGCAGCCGCGACGCCGCCAAACGCAGCTCCTGCCTCGTCACCTACCAGGGCGGCGGCGAGGAGATGGCCATCCCTGAGGAGGCTGAGGAGTACCTGCACCAGGTGTGGGACAGCGGCGTGCCGGGGGACAGGAGCTACGGGGCCCAGGTGTCCAGCAGCAGCCTGGAGACACACGCCTCTCACGAGGCTGACGCCCACCCCTACATGGGGGATGCCATGGATGGTGTTGACCTCCTGACGCCCCAGAGTGACCAGCAGGAGTCTGCCCCAAACAGTGACGAAGGGTATTATGATTCTACCACGCCAGGGCCAGAGGATGAGACTGGAGAGGAGCTCAAGAAGGACAGACTGCCCCGGGACAGCTACAGCGGCGATGCACTTTACGAGTTTGACACCCTGATGAGCCCCTCTCATGGGGAGGAATCCCTGTTCGAGGGCAAAATCCCACGCCAGGGCATCTTCAGCTACTTCATGGACTTCTGCCTCCCTGCGGAGAAGAGCCTGATCCAGCAGATGATGGATCAGAAAAGAGGGCTGATGGAAACTGAAGAAGAGGGGATTGCAGCCATTCAGAAAGAGCTGCTGTACTGGGAGCTGCAGAGGGAACCGGTCCTGAAATGCTTGGATGTCTCCAGCAAGGAGAAGTGTCCCCGGGAAAAGCAGTGCAATGAATGTAAAACCAGAGCAGCCAGCTCCATTGGCAAGAGTCAGAGTTGCCTTGGGAGTGAGCAAGTGGCCTCGCACACCCCAAGCCGGGCTGTCAATGGTGGGGTTGCAGTGGCTAGGGCTGAAAATCCAGAGTGGAGGGATTTTCCAGGTACTCTGTGTCTGGAAAACTGTTACAACAGCCAAAAAGCCCCCGGAAGTTGCCTTATTCAGCTCACAAAGAACAACCCGGGGTTCGATGCAGACCTGGACTGTGGGATGTTTGGGGACTCCATCCACGGCAGTGTGGCCCCAGCCAAGGCAGGGATGTTCCCTGGGTTCAGGCTGCCGGAGCAGGAGCACGGCGGCGGAGCAGATCCCACCCCCGGTGAGCCCCAGGTGGGCAGCGAGCCCGAGCATGCTGTGAGCTTCTCGCAGGCTCTTGTGGAGTTCGCCAGCAGTGGGACCCTCTTCTCCAGCCTCTCTGAGAGCCTGGGGAGCTCGGCCTCCAGCTCGTCCTTCACCCAGAACCTCCCTGCCCTCCCCACCATGGTCACCTTCGACGTGGTGGACGTGGAGCAGGACGGGGAAGGGGAGTGTGAGCAGCACGCGGAACTGACCGCGGGCGAGGACATCGCCGAGGCCTTTGATGATGGCTATGGACAGAAAGAGTCGTTGGCTGAATGTGACGAGAGAATGTCCCTGGGCTTCTCCCCGGGCTCCTTCCAGAGCTGCAACTGGGGGGTGGCCAGCCTGCCCCGCCACCTGCGCCTGCACGGGCTGAGCCCCTCCATGCCCGCGCCACTCTCCGTGGACCGCAGGAGCCGCTCGCTGGACACGGAGAGCCTGGAGTTCGAGCTGGCCGAGCCGCAGGGGGCCCGGAGTGGCCCCCAGCCCTGCCGGCTCTGGGCCAGGCACGAAGCTGGCAGGAAGGACTCTGCTGGAGCCAGGAGGAGCAGGAGCAAGGAGGAGGGTGAGCTGGTGGCTCCCGAGGGCGGCTTGAGCTGGCCGGGCCTGCAGCACCTCCAGCACGGCACCGACACGGCTCCCGGCGGGATGGAGCTCTGGGACTTCGCTCCGGCTGGCGCTGTTGAGAGCGTCTGGGAGCCATCGGAGCTGCCAGACACCGTGACCCCTTTCCTGCCTCTCTCCCGGGGTGGCATCGGGGAGGCTCCGGAGAGGCGGCCCCAGGAGCCAGAGCTGAGCAGGCACCCGCTCCGGCCCTCCAACCTCCCGCTGCAGCCCGAGGCAAGGCGGGCCCGGGAGGCGGCCGGCTCCTTCCGGTACCACGCGGATGTCCCCAGGCTGTCCCGCTTGTTACCCCTGGGAGAAGCGGAGCTGCCCCCGAGCTTGGGCTTCGCCTGCTCCCCGGAGCACCGTGCCAGGGGCAAACCTGTGGGCATTGCCCAGGGCGTGCCGCAGCATCCCGGGAACGGCAGCAGGGACGCCGAGAGCCCAGAGCGCTGCGCCGAGCCCCTCAAGGGCAGGGCCACCCCGGGGCATGGCGCCTGCCGTGGCACCGTGTGCAGTGTCACTGACGCTGAGTAGCTGCAGGAATGTCACCGTGTCACCCGGCTGGGGGGGTGCAGGAATGTCACCGTGTCACCCCGCTGGGGGGCTGCAGGAATGTCACCGTGTCACCCGGCTGGGGGGCTGCAGGAACGTCACCGTGTAACCTAGGCAAGGCTATCTGCAAGAATGTCACTGTCACCAAGCCAGAAGGCTGCAGGAATGTCACCATGTCACCATGCTGAGGCTGCTCTGGGCAGGGCTGAAAGGGGAGCAAAGGGAGGGAGAAAACAGGGAGCAGTTTGGGGAGGACTTGAGTTTGAGCTGGGCTGATGCTCCTCTCCCACAGCCATCCGTGGCCTTGCCCCTGTGGATGCTCCGGAGGCAGCTTGGAGCTGCCTCCAGGATTCCTTCATCACCACTGAGGCACTTTCTGGTTTTCCAGCCCTCTCCAACACCAAGTGCAGCAGCAGCCCCTGGCAGAAGCTGGGGATGGACCCGTTGCTGGTGTGGCAGGTTGGGGTTTGTGCAGGGCTGGGACTGGGGGAACAGGCCTTGGGCAGAGTTTTGAGGGAAATTGGGCTGTTTTCCTCTTCTGGGTGAAATGTTTTGGTTCAGACTCACTTTGAATGTCTTCCAGCCCGGGCTCAGTGTGGGGAGCTGGGAGGAAGGATGCTGCTTGTTCCAGAGTAAGGATGGGGCAGGGCAGCTGGAAAGGGGAACTTTGCAGCAACGTTTTTATTTATTTGATTTGTCCTTGCCCCAAAGGAAAGCAGGAGCTTTTGTGTGCGTGCTGATAATGTTCTCCAGGTCTAGTTTCAGTTTGCTCAGAGAAATGTGCTGTCCATGGTGTCCCTTTGAAGAACAAAGTGTTGGTCCCTTCTTTGTTGTGGTCTGTCTTCACGGTGCAGAATTCCTGGTGGAAACCTTTCCTGTGCTTTGTCCTGGGCTCCTGGCCTCTCCAGGGCCATGGGGACAGGGATGAGGCCTTTGAAATAAGCTAAATTTGCATCATGCCTGTAGCTGTGAAGTGGCAGATGATGTTACTTTCTCAAAAGGAAGCTTTGTGGCTTTTAAATTTAATTTTATTATTTTAAGGTTGTTTTCTTTGCATAAACCCACAGGAGGAAAGTTTTGTGATCCTTGGAATTTGGGATGGGCCACAGCTACGTTGGGCTTCACTCCTCCTGTCTGGAGGGAACAAAAAACCTGGAAGCTGCAGGAGGTTTGGGATTTTATGTCTCTTTGAAGGAACATGGAGGAGGGACACAGGCTGAGGGCACAGACTTTGTCCTGTGAGCTCCTGTGACATCTGTCCCAGGCTCCTGGTTCCCTCTGTGATCCCAAACCCCCTCTGCTTTGGTCCAAACCCCCAGCCCATGACACAAAGCTGCTTCCCTCTGCTGTCCAAGCTCTGTGTTCTGAGTTAATTCCATTACCAGTAATTTTTGTTTTCCCCCACCTCATTGCCCTTTCTCAGTTTTTCTTTGCAGCAGAGTTTGTAGCATTCAAAAAAACAAAAATCCCAATGTGGAATTTTGGAGTTTTGCCACATTTGTGGAGTGAGGGATGGCTCTGCTTGGGCCAGACTCGATTTTCCTGCTGAGGCCTGCCCTGCTGGGTCACCCTCCTGCTGCTCTCCTGCTCCACATGGATGTGGCTCCATCAGCTGCTCCCTGCCATCCCTGGATTTCCAGGCACAAGGAGCTGGTTTGGGTTTGATGGGTTTTTCTCCCCCAAGCAAAATGAGGTCTTCATATTCCTTTTGAGAAAAGGTTCCTTCTGCCCTGTCCTTGGATGTCTGGGAAGGAGCAGGGAAAGGCAGGGCCAGGCTTGGTTCAGCCTCTGTGTGCGATGTGATTTTCCTGCCGAGGCAGAGCAGATCCATCTGTGCATCCATGGGCTCAAACTTGAATTTTTCCATATTTTCCTGCCAGCCCTGCTGCAGGGAGTTCTACAGGAACCTGCTGTGCCATGGTTCTTTTCCCTCATCCCTCTGGGACACCAGAGAGGATTTCCTGGGACACACCTGGCTCTTGGTGCCACTGCCACACCCAGAGAGGACAATGTGGTGAGCCAGGGGAAGGTGCCCTCGCTGGGGGTTATCTCCCCTCGTTAGCACAGCTGCTAATGAACATGGGATGTCCCTCCCTGGAGCAGGGACAGGGCCAGCTCTGTGCCCATCTCACCCCACTCCCACGGGCACACCCTGTTGGGGACACCACAGGGACTTTGTCACCCCCTCATGCCCCTGGCTGGGTTTAATCCCTGTTTTCTTTCCTTTCAGCGTCTCACCAAAGGCATCTCGGGGGTTCCAGGCTCTGGAGCTTTGTTCAGCCAAAGTCCTGCTGAGGGCTGGGAATGTCTTGGTGCTAAATGAATGTTCCAAGGTGTCACTAGGATCCTGGGGTTGGGTGTAGGTACGAGGTGGGGAGGTTCAGTGGGAGCAATACAGCCAAGGTTTGCTAATCTGACTTTATACCAAAGGTTTCTCCTCTTAATTCGATGGGAATTCAATGAGGCAAATATCTCTGGAATTCAAATGAGTTTTCCTAATGCAGTTTAGTCACTAATTTGCTGCATTATTGGCAGATTCTGCCCCATTAACCCAAAGAAATTGGAATTTCTAGTGCAGTAATTCAGCCTGTAAATGATCACTGCAGTAGGGATTGGATTTCACTGCCTGCTGAGCCATGCTTCCCAAAAAACCCCACTTGGGATCCATGGGAACAAAGCTGGGCTGGAGCTGGGTCAGTCCAACACTGCCTTACCCGAGGAGCTCACATTTGGGGATGGTCACTGAGGCTTCTTATGCAAAAGGGCTTCCCAACCAGAAACCAGTCAGAAAAGTCAGGAACAGCAGGATGTTTAGGATATTTAGGAAAAACTTGAGGAATTCACCTGTTCCTTGCAGGGAAGTGAGGGACTGTGGCTGTGAAGCTGTGATGGAACCACTGCCATTGGGGTCAGCCTGCTAAGAGGTTCTGTGTTGCATTCTGGGGACTTGGGGGTTTTCTTTCATTTGGTTGTTTTTATACACATAAGGAAATGGTTTATTTTCTCTATTTTTGTATAGTTTTGCATTTTATAGTCATGGGGAAATTTTACAGACTGTTCTTTTATTCGTGTGTCTTGTCTTTCCAAGTGGCGTGGTTTGCTTTTCTCATGGATAAAAGGCCATTCCTGCTGCTGCCGTGCCCAGATCCCACCCTGCTCCCTGGGAATGTGCTGGGGGCTCTTCCCAGCCCCCCAGCCCCTCACAAACACACTTTGCACACACTTGAGACATCCTTAACCCTCCTCTGTCGCACTCAGCTGTCTGCCTTTCAGTGTTGTTTTTAATCTGAATGTGTGGATTTTGGTGATTTCTCCCTTCAAGTGTTGTAAAAAGCCCACAGCTTTCAGCTGAGGCTTTTCCTGCTGTCTGCTGATGTTATTTTATCTCACACTGGGGCTTTTCTTCAATCCCTGTGCAGGAGATGCTGTTGGCTGGTGCATGGAAATGCTCTTGGACAGGTTTCCTCTCCCCTTGGTGCTCCCTGGCTGGGCTGGGATTTCGCCCTGGTGCCTGAGGATTGCTCCTTAAATAATCCTGGGATTACCAGGGCTCCCCACCTTCTCCTCATTCCCTTCTCCAGGGAGCTCCAGCCCTGTGCTCTGCATCACTAAAACATCTCCCTGGATTGACACTGCCTTGAACTTCAGGATCAGAGGAGAGGAGAGCTTCTGGAATGCTAAAATCCAGCCCAAAGCAGATTTTTCTCCCTTTTTCCCCCAGCAGCGGTGGCAATTGTCACTGATTTGGCTCTGCAGAGATTTTTTTTTTTTTTTTTTGTCTTCTACTTAATAATTTGTCACCTAATGGTGCTTTTAAAAGTTTCTCTGGATTGGGTTTGCCCCATTCCCCACAGGGAGGGACGGGAAGGTTTTTCACTGAACATTCCTGGGGCACTCAGACCCACCTTCCACATTCCCTCTGCCCTGGAATTCTGGGCTTCCTCCTCTCCAGCTGGGGCCTCCTGCTCATCTCACCCACACTGAGTCACCCCAAAGCTCCATTTGGGTGAAGTGAGAAATTCAGATCCCAAAAAGCCTCTCAGCTGTAAGGAAATAATGAATTAGCCCTTGTCCTTGGCTGCCCCACCCTGCTGCCAGGCTGGCAGCTCCTCCCGGGTGACCAACCTGGCTGAATTTGGGGTTTTTTTGTTTCCTTCCTGGTCTCATTGCTACTAGTCCTTTCAAGTTTTTAATGTATTGATTGTGTTTTAAAATGAATGTTCCTTTCACTGAATTCTAATGAATAAAGTGCAGATTTTTAGAGAACGTTGGATTTCACTGGTGGTTTGGTGTTTTCGTGCTTATTTTACCCTTGATTTAGTGTTTTTTCTTTCCCTCTTTGTTGGTTATTTGCCAGTGAGGTGGAATTTTCCATGGGAGAAGGCAACAGAGACCCTTTGGAACAGGATAAGGCTCCCAAACCCTCATTAAATGAAGGCTTATTATCCATCCTTTAAGGCTCCAAGGAAGATTTTCTCTCTCTGGGCTCCCAGGCAGGAAGCAGAGATTCCCTGGCTCTGAGGTGGCCCCACCTGGCTGGGACATCCCTGGGATGCCAGGGAAGGGCTGGCAGGGATGGTTTTGTCTTGGATCCTCTCAATGTGTTCCTCAGGTGCTTCCCAGCATTTCCAAATGCATTGGAAGATCCAGGAGAAGAGTCCTGCTCTCCCGGGGCAGGAATTGGATTTGTGAGAAGCTGTAATTATCTGGAGAGCCTGATGAGCTGAATGAGCCCGGGGTGAGGCTCTGTCCTTTCCCTCTGCACCCCTGGAGATCTGGGCTGGAGGGGTGGGCAGAGCTCTGCCCTGAGCCTTGCCAGCCTCTCCTCCTCCTCGTGCTGCTCTCCCTCCCTCCCTCCCAAGCCTCCTTCCACTTTCCCAAAGCCTCTCTGGGAATACTGAGTCTCCATCAGGGCTCCCTCTCTGCTCCCTGGGCCGTCCCCCGTGCTGCACCGTGGGGAATTTTCCCCTTCCCAGCCTGGATCCATCCCTGGTTCATTTTAGGATCAAACAGGCTCTGCCACGGCCACGGGCTCTGCTCCTGCACCAGCAGATGTGGCTGAGCGCTGCTGGGAAACCTCCCTGCGCCTTCAGACACTGCTCGGGCACCTGAGGAGCTTTCCAAGATCCCAGTGCTGATCTCCTCCCGCTGTGACCCCACAGAGAGGGCTCAGGGCTGCCCAGCCCAGCTCTCCCCTCCAGCAGAGGTTGCTTCTTAATATTTGTTAGTATTTATTGATGAATATATAATCAGTATATAATTTATAATATAGATAATGTAATCAATATTATATATAATATAATAAATATAATATTATATTTATAAATAACACTATTTCTAATATATATTCAATATATTTATTTATAATTACATATATTTATATATCTATGCTTTAAAATATTTTAATATTTCTTTATACATAATAAATATTTATATAAAAATATAAAATTATATATAATATATATATTATAGATAACATATTTTTATTTATGTATATATACTTTTAAATATTTCAATATATATGCTTTAAAGTATATTTTAATGTTTATTTCACTATATTTTCTGCTGCATTTCAGCTGGGAATAACCCTCCTCATCCCACTGGAAAAGCCTCCAGCAGCTCCCAAAGCTCTGGTGCAGAGGCTGTGGCTTCTCCTTTGGGGTTCAATAAGGTTGGTGTGGCCCAGGAGCCGCTTTGACTGTGACACTCGTGTTTGTCACAGCTCTGGTGGCTTTTACCCCAAACAGGAGCTGGGGGAGGGCGCTTGGGGCGGCTCCATCCCTGCTGTGTCCCCAGGAACCCTCCCACGGGAGCCTCTGCTGTCACCTCCCCAGCGTGGGGACAGCGAGGGACAAAGGCAGCAGCAGGAGCAGAGAGGGACAGCACGGGGCAGAGGCCACCAGCGCCGTGCTCCTGGGGGATGGGGCTCCCGAAAACCCCTGACTGAATTCAGGGAGGGAGAAAGCTGCCCAGGCAGGGCAAGGGCAGAAGGCAGGAGCTGAGGGATCAGCTCTGCTGATTTCCCTTCCTTTCGGGGAAGAGTCTGGAAGGCAATCAGCTGGGAAAATGACACGTGGGGCTGGGTCAGCACTGCCAAGGCTGGAAAACTGCCAGAGGAGCCAAAAAAACTGCGGGAAGGCTGGGCAGGGGTGAGCGTGGTGTGCCTGGGGGTTCCTGGGTCATGAGCTCAAAATTCAGGCTTCAAACTCCCCCTCTGGAGCTGGGATCCCAACCAGCCTCCCTACAGCCTGCTGGGCTGTTATTCCAGGCTCCCTCCCTGCATCCCAAACGCTTCCTGGGGTTCCCTTTCCACATCCCGCTCTGGGGTCTGAGCCTGCAAGAGCTGCAAGGGTGTTTTCTCCCGAGGTGATGGCACAGCTGGGATTCCCTGGCAGGAGCTGCGGTTATCCAGGGGATCCCGGCTCATGCAGGGCGTGGTTAATGCCCTGTTTTCCGTGGTGCCACAGGAATATCCCCTTGGCTGCCCCCCCAGCTCTGGCAGGGATGGACTCAGGGAATACAGGAGATGGATTTCACCTTGTCCCTGGATTGTTTTCTCCTTCCCCCAGCACCTTCCCGCTGCTGCACGTGGCAGTGAAGCGTTAATAATGATGAGGAGAGCGGGATCAGCTCCTGGGATGGCCCGTCCCGCTGGGAACGCTTCAAACCCCCGGCTCTAATTGCCTCCTTGTAAACACAAATTGACTCTCGTTTGCTGCAAACAAATTCCTGCAGACAAAACCTGGCTGGAAGTCACTTGTCATCACAGGAATGCATCTCACACTTTGAAGTGTTGCTTTTTTTTCTCCCCTTTTTTCTCCAAAGTGATTTGAAAAGCGCCGACACAACAGCTCTGCTCTGTGAGGGAACACGAGGGGTTTGTGGCACTGCCGGGGTCCTCAGGCTCCTGTGCCCAGAGGCTGCCATGGCCTGGTGACCTTTGTGTCACCTGCCACCCCTGCGGCAACTGCTTTAGTTCCTTCCCTATTCCCATGGATCGAGTGGAGTTTGTTCATCCCATCCCATCCCATCCCATCCCATCCCATCCCATCCCATCCCATCCCATCCCATCCCGATTTTATGGGGTCAGTTCCCAGCTGGTGGCTCCCACTGGCTCAGCACAGCCAGGGACAGCCCTAGGACACCTGGTCTGGGACACCTGTCCTGGGGACACAGCAATGTCCCCACCTCACCGTTTTTGGGGTTCCTGAGTCCCCCCAGCTCAGCCCCAAGGTCCAACCCCCCAGGGCAGGCACCAGCCCCGGGTGCCACATCCCCACAGTCCTCCATGCTGGAGGATTATTTCTAATCCCTCTATTTTTAGAACAATGCTGAAATCTGTTTAATGCTGGAGGGATTTGGGAAAGAAAAAAACAAACAACAAAGAAAGAAGAGTAATTTTCTTTCTGATGCAGGAGCTGTCAGTGAAGGGGTTTTTGGGGTTTTTTATTTTATTTTTGGGAGGATGTCTCTTTGATGAGTTTTATTTGTCTGCCAGAAGGGAGGAGGGAAGGAGGAATCGAGCCTTAAGGAAAAGCTCTGAGGGGTTGTCCTGGCTGTTGTGGGCATGGGAAATTTCACAGCAGCAGTAGCAGCAGGGCCAGGTCATCCTGCTCCCCAAAATCTGGAGCTGGCCAGGCTTTCCCCAGGCAGGGGATCCCCCAGCCGGGGCAGACACAGAGCTCAGAGCTCCGTCTGTTCCACGCTTGGAAAGGAGCAGGAGAGGACCTGGGCGAGCTCAACTTTTGGGAATATCCTTGGGCAACACCGCGGGGAGGGGCTGCAGGGGCTGGGGACCGTGCCGTGCCCACCCTGGGGGCCTTGGTGACAAAATCCCAGCTCTCCCGGGGATCATCCATCTGCGGAATTCCGGGCCAGTTTTGGTGCTGGGCTGACCTCTAAGGGAGAGCTCCCATATTGCAGCTCATGGAATCCAGAATCTCAGAAGGGCTTGGATGAGAAAGACTTTTATTAAAGCCCATCCAAGGGCAGGGACACCTTCCCCTACCTCAGGCTGCTCCCAGCCCCAATGTCCAGCCTGGCCTTGGGCACTGCCAGGATCCAGGGGCAGCCACAGCTGCTCTGGGCACCCTGTGCCAGGGCTGCCCACCCTGCCAGGGAACAATTCCTGCCAAGATCCCATCTAAATCTCTCCTCTTTAGTTTAAAACTGTTCCCCTTTGCTCTATTACTATGTCCAGTGCTGAGCTGGGTCTCCCCAAAATTCCCCTGGGGCAGCCTGGGCTCTTGGAGCACTTTTTGGGGACATGACAGGGGAAAACACAGAGATGAGCCAGAGCTTCACATTCCCTCAGTGCCCTGAGCCTTCAGCATCAACAGCTCTGAGTCACAACCCAGGGTGAGGGGTCTGTGACACCCTGGGGACACACTGAGAGGACAGGAGCTGACAGGGGGCAGGGATGGATGGGATATTGGGAACTAGGAATTGTTCCCTGGCAGGGTGGGCAGGCCCTGGCACAGGGTGCCCAGAGCAGCTGTGGCTGCCCCTGGATCCTGGCAGTGCCCAAGGCCAGGCTGGACACTGGGGCTGGGAGCAGCCTGGGACAGGGGAAGGTGTCCCTGCCGTGGCAGGGGTGGCACTGGGTGGGCTTTGAGGTCCTCCCAACCCAAATCCGTCATTCTGTGACCCTGGAGGGGTTTGGTGGCTTTGGTGCCACCTCAGTTGGCACCCGGGTGTGAGGGGACTGCCCGTGCTGGGAGCTGTGGGGGTTTGTGGGGTCCCACACCATGAGGGGACCCTGGGTGCCAAATCTTTGTGACTGCACAGGGACTGGGACCCAGGCGGGCACAGCCAGCACTGCAGCGTGCCCAGCTCCAGTGGCACCCGAGCCCCAGGGATGTGTGGAAGGGGCTAACAGTGGGCTTGTTAGCTAAAGGAGTGAGAAGAAGCTAAGGAGTAAGAAGCAGCTGATAAGGAGTTTTCTGTAAGGTTGTAATTAAGGAGACTAAGAGAAGGGGGTGAGGAATTGAAAAAAAGATGAGAACTTTGCAGCTGGATGAAGTATTTTTAGAAAGTATTTTTAGCTGAAGTTACTGTAACTTTTATTAATGGTGTTATGTTCATTTATTGTGGCTAACAGTTAAGGTAGAAGAAGTATAAACAATTAGAAAGTGTACAAAAAGTCAGCTATGTTTGATAATAAAGAGTTGTTATCTGAGACTGTTTGTGGTCTCTGCTTTGTGTTGTGACTGCCTCGACAACGACAGGAATGGGCAATTTGGGTCCCTGCCTTTGGGGGAGAGCTG